AAAACAAAAATAAAAGGGTTTTGTCCTGGTTTCAGAATAAAAAAATGCTTTTATTGTTTGTTTGCATCATATTAACTACCGAACTTATTCAAACATGCTCAAAACATCAGTAGGTGCTTCTTATTTACACTTGATCCAAAATCACTTGAATGAATCACAGTATCACCTAGAGGTCAGCCCAGTGAGGGTAGAAGTCTGCAGGAAGATGGTTAAACTACATATATATGCAACGATCTGGTGGATGGGACTCGAGGATTCATCCAACACCATAAAAGCAGTATTTAGTGAGAAGCTGAAACTACGGAGAGTTGCTGGATCAACAGGAACTGATGAAAAGACCTCTGGGTCACAAAACTAGGAACCAATAAAAAGCAGGAGAGATATTAGGATACCTCTTTCATATTCTTCCTTATGTCCTGGAGAGCATTGGTGAGTGACTGAGTGAGGAAACAGGAGCATGAATCATGGCGGTAGGAGGTACCGCTGAGTGTAAACAGATTGCAGATACAGACTCTTTTGGGCTAGTTCTAGACATTTTCCACCATGTTTGCATGATGAAATATCACCAACAATAACAGATGCACAACATCTCTGAACCTGAATCCATTTTTTTAAGGTTTTATTTTATTTTATTAACAAATATAACAATATTCAAAGGAAAAAAATGCAAAGTGCAAAATGTCCTAAAAGACAACGAAATTTTGAAAAAAAAAATGTTTTTAACAATTATGCATTCTCCACAGCAGTCCTCAAACTTTCCTTCTGCGCATCATCTTCATGAACTTCCAAAAGTTTCATGCTCTACAGACATCTGTTTCTTGCGAGCACTTTTGGTCAACCCAGGAGACTTTGCAGATGTGCTCTTAGCTTGAGAAGCTTTTTTTACTCCTTTTGAAGTCGATTGTGGTGACTTCCAGCTGTCGGGTCGAGCCGTGGGGGATTTACGGGTGGAGCCTCACAGTTTGGTCAGTTTTTTCTTTAAATAATTGTTTTTCTTGGGGGTGTTCTCAATGGTGAACACCGTAGACTGCCTCCGCTCAGCAGGAGTGAGGACAGCGTGCAGATGAGAGCTGCTCACGTTCTTGCTTTTGGGAGTGAGAGGACGAGGGAAACGGCTGGCTCTTGTTTTTTTTTTGTTGTTATTTTTTTTTATTATTATTTTTTTTATAACCGTGTCCTGTCTGGCTGTGAAGCAAACATAATTGATGTCTGAATGCTGGTGACAAGCCTTACAGATTTACTCTCAGGTGGAGCGTCAATGCTTTTAATGTCACGCCTGATACTTAAAACTTTATTGTTGTTGTTTTTTGAATGCTTTGTAATTCCGACCGGACACGGAATCAGAGGTGAAAGAGAAAGGAAAAGACAAAAGTTGGGGAGAGAGGGGGGAAGGGGTGGTGGTGGTGGTGGTGGGGGGGGGTCACAAAAATAAACAATAATGAACAAGAGTCTGCTTCTAGACCTGCAGAAAGAGAAAGAATAGAAAAAATAGGACACAACAACAATACAACAGGAGCAAGCTATCACTGTGTCAACTTGATGATGAAATATAAAATCAACATTGTTTAACTGAACAATCACATGATAATAAATCACAGTGCATTTAGTGGCAACGACAGCCTTAAGACCTGTGTTTAACGTGCCCAAACCCATGCTTTTGAGAGCACCATGTGAGCACCTGTGTGTGTACACGCGCTTGTTTATGTAAGGTTTCTCTATAGGAGCGTCCAATAGAGAGTGTGAGAGACCACAGATCTGCCCCCCAAAGATGTGTAGGAGACGGGGGGAGCTCCAAGTCCCAGAGATCCAGGAGCTGCCCCAGAGCACAGGAACCCCAAGGAGACTGCAACCAGAAAGGCCCCCCGCCCCCCTCGAGAGGCACAGATGATCGCCCCGGGGGGCCACAACCAGCAGCCGGCAGAGTCCCGGGAGATATCAGCAGCAAGCCCACAGGCCCGCCCGCAGCCTCCCACCCCTAGCCGGCCGAGCTCGGGACCCAGCGACCCGGGACCCAGGGGCGACCACCCCCGCCGGGGACCCAGCAGAGCCCAGGGACCCAGACCCCACCAGGCAGCCACCGGGATTGATCAGGCAGACGCCAAAGATCTTAAACCCCCTGACCCGGAGCCACGAACACTCAGGCAGACCAAGGCACCACACCCCACACCAGGTGTGGCAGGGGGAGGGTTACCAGAGTTTGACCCTTTCTGCTGGGGTGCTGATGAGCAGGCTCCCCCACCCAACGTTGAGCACAGCAACCCACCACCCCAGACCCCAACCAGACGGTCAGATCTCCCTCCTAGCCTCCAGCCCCAGGAAGCCAAGCAACAACAGAGGTGTGCTAAGACCCCTAGTCTCCCTCCGCCTGCTCCATTATAGCGTTGTGTGTTGACGAGGTGTATTCCATGGCTGTGGTGAGCGGACAGTGCGGACATTGTCTGGCCTATGCCAGCTGATGCCACCACACCACCCCACTTGCACTCACAGCCCTCGGTGTCTAAGTGCAGTTTAAAATTGGAAGTGGGCACCGGCACTCGGGAGGAGGCTGAAAAATCCGCCTGCCAAGTGCAGTTGAATGTGCTCACTCCCAAGGCCCTAAGTGTGTGTTTGCGTGTAATGTCTTCAGTGGAAGTGTATAAGGTACAGATAAAATTGGGGGGCAGGTTGCCACAGGAATGTGGAAATGGGGTCCATACCCACACTCCCTGACTTGTCCACCCCCCAAGGTCCTATGTGTATGTTTGTGTGATGATGTGAAGGAGCAGGAGGAGAAAAATATGCGGGGATGGGGAGGAATGGCTGGTTGGGCTTAGCCCTCCAGGGAGCCAGCTCCCGCACTGGACCCAATAGGCACCTCTGTTGTCAAAATGCCACCCAGGGCATGGAGACCTCAGCCCATCCTGCCAGGGCCCAAAGCAGCAGCATCACAGAGCCTCGCGGAGTCCGAGGGCACCAACCCAGCCCCACCCCAGCAGAATATCTACGCCCATCCCTGCATTTGCACAACTTCCAGAATATATAAGACATAGAACATCCAGGTAAGGTTGGGTCCTCCCCCTCCCCTGTGATGGGACAGCAGAGGAGCCACGGTCTACCCGAGGCCCCTGAACACGGGCCAGGCAGTGCTGCATGTGCCTGCCTTCTTCCCGGCAGCATACATGTCAGGACCCGACCCCCAAGGCCCCGCCCAGATCCCCACATGGGGCCGGCCATCCCCGAGCCCCCACCCAGACCCGCCCAGGGGCAATGCAGCTGCTAGGCAGTGACCCATGACCGCCGCCAAGACCTCCAAGGGGCCCCACTCACAACCACCAGTAGTCCACCCCCCGAGGTAACCCAAGCACCTCCAGAGGGGGGCAACGGCCCCCCAGTCCCAGACACCCCCCCAGTGAACCCACCTCCAGGGAACATCCGAATACTCCAAACTCAGACCCTCCACCCCCCCACCCACATCATCCCGCAGGACAATATCAACGGTCCCCCATCATCACTATGTGATGGAATCGATCAAAGGAGCCCAGAGAGATTGATCTGAAGTGGAAGCAGAAGCTATATCAAGTGTAATATGATCTAACAAAAGATTTCTATACTGGTTAATGCAGAGACTTTCTCTATTTTTCCAATTCAAGAGGATAGTTTTCTTAGCGATGCATATGGCAGTCAGAACCACGTGAACCACAGATGTTTCAATCGGGACATCGTCCAGCTTTCCCAGTAAACAAAGAGAGGGGGAAGTTGGGATATGACATTTCAGAGACTTTGACAGATCCTCACATACTCTACCCCAAAATTCCTGGACAGGTGGGCAGGACCACAGTGCGTGAATGTAATTGCCAGGAATGTTGTTTGTGCAGTGTGTACAGGTGTCAGACGACACAAACCCCATCTTGAACATCCGATGACCTGTATAGTGTACTCTGTGTAGGATTTTGTACTGAATTAATTGTAAATTGGAGTGTCTGATCATTTTAAAAGTTTTTAAACAAGTTTGGGACCAGAAGTTCTGGTCAAAGCTGACTGATAGATCCACCTCCCATTTTTCAATAGGGATTGCAATTCTATCGTCTATTTTGGACAGTGTCTTATATACTTTAGACAGTAGTTTGGTGGTTTTGAGATTATAAAAGTCTAATACCCTTGGTGGTGTTTGTAATTCTTTTTTATTGAGCTTAAATTTTTGTTTGACTACAGATTTAATTTGGTGGTATTCTAAAAGCTATTCTTATCTATTCCAAATTGGGAGACTATTCGATAAAATGGGATGATAAAATGGTGTGGATTTTGCATAATCTGTTGGAAAGATTATTATAAATACATCTATTATTAGAAATCACAACATTCAGATGGATGACACAATAGGAACTGAGGGCTAAATACACACAACTGGACAAGCAGGATCATCTTGCAATGAAGATTTTGGGTTTTTGTTAGATATTCAGGGTATCTTTAGGTGATCTGGGCCTCAATACGTGTTCAGTCATGTGAAACCGGTGGAGCTGAAAATGCACGACCAATCCCAACCCTGTAGCAAGGAGAAAATGGAAAGAGAAGGCAGTTAAACAAGTACATGCTCACATATCTTACATGGTCAATTGTAAACCCAAGCTGTTTTAAATGATCTTTGCCCTAAATTAACAAACAGAATCTAAAGTGTGGGTTTAATGCTAAAGGTGATTTCTGTTCGGACTGGCGAATATGATGCTGGCTGCTTCATATCCGTTTATCTAACCAAACACTTTAATAGTTAAATGCAACTAATTGCCCTCTTTGCCAATTTAGACGTCTAATTTGCAGTGATGTCTTGACACTGGATCAGCAGAACTGCTGATGAAGTCGAAGACTAAAAGGTCGCTACAGAATCTAGTCTATACCCTGAAATGTCATTTATGATAAATGAACACTAAAAGCAAGACATTTAATCATTTTAGATGCATGTTCTGTCAGCACTAGCATTTAAACAAAAAAGCGAGGACCTTACATGTCTTCTTTTCTCTCTTTAGACACCCTCTCAGTGCCTCGCTGGTCCCCACAGATAGCCCGAAGAGATTTGGGAAACTCAATAAAACACAGGTTGGTTTAAAAAGAAATGTGTGATTTTCCTTTTAGGGTGTGTGAGTTTTCCTTTGTGGGAATTTCTGTGATTGACACCAAATAAATGTTATGCATAGATCAGTGATTTCTGTTTTTGACTTGATGCCTGAGGGATCAAACAGTCAAACTGAGATTTGGGACATTGTCCTTGTTGGAAGTCTTCGAGGTGAGATCAAGGCTCTACAAATAGAATTTCTCTTATATTCCATATCTTTTTATTTTGAAACTGTGCATTTTGGGTTTTTAAAGGGAATGTATTCTATAAAACTCCATCCACTGCCATGTAGATCTCTACTACTTCTTTAAACACTCCAGACATAAAAAAAGATCACATCTTTTCTGCTTGTTTCTTGTCAGTGATTGGTTTTAGGAAATTTGCACCTAAAATAAGCTGTTTTAAACTGTCCCAGATTGTGATGTCACAAATGAGTACATTTGAATTAAACCACCTCTCACATACAAGAGAGAGATACTGCTGGAGGAGCAGCTTCTCTACTATTAGCCCCTCCTGGATATCAGAGATTTTCATTTACCGCTGATGCTTCCAGTGTGAAGTAGGGGTTAGGCTCCCTATTGACCCTTTGCACCGGCATCACCTAATCACGTGGGTCCACCATGGTGGATGGCAAAAGCATGTAAACAGTGAGCGACACGAGTACTACACAAAGGGAAAAGTAGAGCCTGAAGTTGTTTTTGCGATCAAAACAAAAACAAAACTCCTCCAGCATTCCTTCCACTGGTTCATGCCCAGTTCAGTTATCAGAGGAGGTAGCACATCTAGCGGGGCTCATAGAGAGCGGTATGCTAACTAGCTTACCAGCGTTAGCTTACGTTCTCTCTGCAGATGTTCACCGATGTAAACACGTTGCTGACTTCTCCTAAATACACCCCTCTGGATTTATAACTTTATGTTATAAACAGCGTTTCACTTTACACCAAAGCTGATTGTTAAAAAGTCCGGATCCCTACCAGCTTCTGTTGCTGGTGGTGCTACCGGGTCCAGCTGCTGCTCTCACACCGGAATGAGAAGATCTCTGAACGCCGACGCTCATATAAATAAATAAATAACGTCATTTTAACACACGTGATCATACATCGGAGCTTTAATATTGTTAATAATTGTCTCGCTTTACACTACAGTGGACGGAGCGCAGCCTCCGTGGTGAAACACCCGTCCATCAGGATTATCAATAACTAGTATAAACATTTATCCCTGTCCCTGTCTTCCTCGTGAAAGAAATGAAAGTTAATCTTACCCGCTAAAAACATGTTCGCTGCTAATCTGAGGGCTGCTAGTCCGCTTGATTGCTGCAGTTCATCTCCGTCCTCAGTCTCCATCAAAGTTATTAAAAAAACAAAAGGAGTTGAGTTTACGTCCTCGTCTGTTAGTGCAGCCGACCACGCAGCAAGCTAAAACCATTTTACTGTCACATCAACTCAATAAAATCCATTAAAGGCTACAAACTGGCTTGTTTTGACTAGCTTCACTGGAGTTTCTACGGGTGCAAACAGTCTTTTTGCCGCCTATCATGGCGAAGGGGGCGGTCACATGAGTGGCGTGACGTCACGTGCAAAGGGTCGCTAGCATCCGGAATGGGGGAGGGGCGGGCGTGGCCAGCTCAACATGACAGGGCCCTGAAACGCCTCATTCTAGAAGGTACTGAAACTGTGGAGAACAAAACTGTTGAAATCGTTCACGGGAGAGGGATTCAGTTCAATGACCTTCACGAACATGTTTGATACCGACCATATAAATAAGATGTCCCCTTTAAGACAACTGGATTTATTTCTAATTCTACACTTCATCATGCTAAATCCCCCCCCCCCCCCCCCCCCCACACACACACACATAATCGACAGTCCACCATTAAATAAATAAATAAATAAACAGTTTTCAAATAAAAGTGGTTGAAGTGACTCCCAATTAAGCCAAAGGAGGGGCCTAATAGAGATTTTGATTCTGTCAAACTGCATTAGTCACCTGCCATTAGCTGGCCAGCCACTCTGCTGGCATCCAGTAAACACAGCCGATGATCATAAATGTTCTTTAGGAAGCTCAGTCAGTTTGTGCAGGGAACTAGTTGTTGATGTGGATTTGTTTGTTTGGAAGGTGATCCTGCTGGACCACGGCACAGACTTCCAAACTCCAAATCGCTCTAATTCCTGTACTGGTGTAAAACCCATGATTTATTCACACAATGTTACTGACATGAATAATGACAAGTGAAAGCAGGCAGAGAGGAGGATTAAGGAGGTAAACGCCTGATGGATGGATGGAGTCTCTAACGTTTTCATTCTGTCTTTTGCCTGCAGGTTTTCCACAAAGTACTGGATGTCCCAGACATGCATAGTGTGTGGAAAGGGAATGTTGTTTGGGCTGAAATGTAAAAACTGCAAGTAGGTACCATCCTTGCTCCGTCATCAAATCTTTTTCCAGTAAATTCACTGATCCATCCATCCATCCATCCATCCATCCATCCATCCATCCATTTTCATCCACTTATCCGGAGTCGGGTCTCGGGGGTAGTAGCCTAAGGCGAGAGGCCCAGACCTCCCTCTCCTCAGCCACTTGGGCCAGCTCCTCTGGGGGAATCCCAAGGTGTTCCCTGGCCAGGTGAGAGACATAGTCCCTCCACCGTGTCCTGGGTCTTCCTTTAGGCCTCCTCACGGTTGGACGTGCCAGGAAAACCTCACCAGGGAGGCGTCTAGGAGGCATCCTGACCAGATGCCCGAGTCACCTCAACTGGCTCCACTCGATGTGGAGGAGCAGCGGGTCTACTCCGAGCCCCTCCCGAATGACCGAGCTTCTCACCCTACCTGTAAGGGAGAGATTCACTGATGTATTCATCAGTTTTTCCCCTCATTTATCCGTCTTAACTGTTTTTCCCGGACTTCGGTAACCCTTATTGTTTCAATCTTAATTGGATAAACAAGATATCTGGATTTCTCGACTGTCGTGATTCCCCTCAAAGCTCCCAGTCTGCACAGATCTTGCTTTTTCATAAATAATCAAATCAAACTGAACTAATTAAATGTCTTTTGTTGTGTATTAATTTAGGTTGAAGTGCCACAACAAATGCACCAAAGAAGCCCCACCTTGCCACTTACTGATCATACAGCGAGGCGGACGAGAGTCACTCAAAGGTAACCTCATCCGTCGTAATTTTCTGTGATTATATGACATTTGCATTGCAAAGGGACAATTATTTGAAATAACAGCTCACAGAAACTGACTAACTAGTTTTTGACTTTAAAAGGAAGTTGGACACTGTAATGCCTCAGGATAAAAACTCAATTTGCATGCATGTTGGAACATTTTCTTCTTGCTTGGGTGCGTCTTTACCTTCGTTCGTTTCACCCCGGGCATGTTTCATTATCCTCGTGTGAATTTTCTTCTTCCCTCTTCTGATAAAAATAAGAAAAGAAGCTTCCTGTTAATGAGGAATATCCCTTTTAATAATTTCCAAAGCTGAACTTCTGTCTGGAATTTCGTCTATATGTTTAAAACATCCATCCATCCAGGTCACTTAAACTTTTAGTGACCTGCAGACCGTTCATTTCCTTCGCTCTCAGGAATAAGTGAGTTTGATTAAGATTAAAGGAGTTTAAAGAAAAATCAGAACACATGATTATGGATAAGTTTGTGAGTCCTTACCCTGTAGATGGTCTTCTGAGTGGCCTCTGTTCCAGTTTAGGATCTACAGAAACAACGAGCTAGCAGCTAGTTAGGTATTTTATGGAATTCTATGGTTTCACACCATCGACATATAAATATTGGACAATGGGTTTCCATAGACTCCAATAACACATTTTTGAAGATAAATGGGAGGTGGCCACCACCGCCATTTTGACCGTGTCACAGGTTCCGTCAAGCCCAGACAATTCCATAAAAGGGAAGAGAGGTGGAGCTGAGGGTGGGGCTGTAAGGCTGGGATCATCTGATGACACCCGGTCGAACTAGCTACAAGCTAACCCAAAGCTAACGCGGAGGTGGGAGCTAAGCTAACGGAGGTAGCAACCTAGCTACAACCGGAGTTAACTGTGCACAACACCAGAGCTTCTGAGTCAGAGATGCGCCGAGCTGCGGGGAGGAGAGAACCGGGTGGAAAACATCGGTCCCCCGAGAGCTACACAAGCCGATAGTGGGAACCCAGCTCCACCAACATGTCATATTTCAACCCATTTTCTAAAGTGCAGCATTATGTTAAATGCACTGGGTTTTACCCTATTACATTTAAATTTCATGGTTAAACAGTACATGTTAAAATCTAAGCTCAGCTCGGCAGTGACCTAAAATACATAAATATCATTTTACTTACCAAAAAAATGAAGTGGAGACTCCTTGGACGCTCTATTAGTGCAATTAATGCCACAGCAAGTCATTTTGTCCAACAATTGCACAAATAATATCCAAACAAGAATACACACACACAGAGACTCAAAATCCCGGAGCAGTTTCCAGGCCAGACCGAGGCTCTACTGAGGCCTTTCCCCGGAGCTAGCTCTGTGGTCACGTGGGTCTGATGCTCATTAATTATTCAGAATTTTAGGCTTTTAATACACTTAAACAGAAGAGTGAGAAAAACATTCACCCCCCTCAGAGTTGTCATGAGTTTAAACTAGATCATTTAAACCAAAAACATGTTCTGGTACCAGGCTGTAAACATGTTTATTTCTGCTGTGAAATTGGTATTTTTAACATGGGAGTCAATGAGGAATTGCTCGCTTCTGACACCAGCCCCTAGTGGATGAGGGTGGAACTGCAATTTCTGGTACTTCCGGGATTGCTTCAATTTTTGAGCCGCATTGTGGGGGCTTGTTTCACACAAGCAGAAATTTCTAAAATATAACTTTTCTGGTGAATCTAGAGCAGTTATGTTTGCTCTGATTTATAAAAATATGTCTGCATGAATGTTTATAAAACATTTACATAAAGAACTGTGGAGAACAGGGTTGTTCAGCTAATTTTTCCTGCCTGATGTAAACTTTATTTGAATTTAACACAGAAACACACTTCGGATCAGCATTAAAATCTCGCATCTGTGGGTGCATTAGTACTTTCTACCCGTGAGGCTCCATGCAGACGCTTTCTTCTAAAATAAAGACGAGCTTCAGTATTATAACATTTATGTGGAGATGATGCAGTGATGCTTGCAGTCCAAACACACTTCTCATCTGCCCTCCTGATGCTTCATTTATTTTTTAATCTTTTGTATAAACAGTCTTTTTTTTGCCTCCATTTGTGAAAATAAAACAGGCGGCTGGTTTGAGCTGATGGAAGGTTACCTTCTGATTAATTAATCCACTTAAGCTTGAAAAATGCAATCGTGTGAGGCTGCATTAATGTTGACACTGGCAGCATGAAAATTGTGATTAAATAGAGAAAATGACAGTTATTTGAGCTTAGAATAAAGCTTCTTTGTATTCTCTCTTCTTCTGTCTCTTTTCATTCCAAATAAGATCAACAAGGAACGATTCAAGGTAAGGAGCACTAATTAGAGTTCTGCTTTAGCAGGCACATGCGGTGGATTTTTAATATTCTACTTAGAGAAACTTATTTCGATAATCTCTGTATCTGATAACAAGTGTTCAAGAAAGGCTAATTTGTCTAATTTCCTCATTAGAAGCTGTGCATGTTCTCCCCAAGCTATTAGTCGAATGTTTGCATGGTATCGCCTGCGCTTCAGAGTTTCTTTGCGCTTTCATTTTTAGTAGCTCGCCTGGTACGGACTGAATCAGTGCCATGTGACATCAACAACCCGCTCAGGTACACAGACCTGCACATCAGTCAGACGCTCCCCAAAACCAACAAAATCAACAAGGTAGGCGTGACAAACAACAGGTGGATTACAGTCTGTGTGTAACCTGTACGTGTCACCCTCCAGGGGGTTTGGGGAGCTGGTTATGAGTCGCTGTTTCTCGGAGGGATAAGAGAACTCTACAAGAATATCTCCTGTAATATTGACGTTTGCACGGATGGATTTCTTTTCAAACACCGAATGTTTGGCAGCCAGCAGACACTGATAGAGGAGGCTTTGTTCCTATGGAGAAAAGCTTAGGATTCGGATTCACTCTGAAATGAGAACCTTTACTAACACACACACACACACACACACACGCACGCACACACGCACACACACACACACACACACACACACACACACACACACACACACACACACACACACACACACACTTGTTTGAAAACAGTTCTGGAAAGATCCCCTTTGTGCAGTTTTGTTTCTCATAAAAATAAAATATTTGCAAAAGATTCAGTCTGAAAGGTAGAACAATGAGTGCAACTGTAGTTTCATGGCATTTATTTTTAGACTTGAATTAGCAGAATTTCTGTTTAATAAGTTAATGTTTCTACTAGATAAAACTGTAATATAATTGTGCAAAGAAACTCTTCAGATAAAATGTCATTTTCATCATGATTTATGTTTGTGTTTTAACAACATTTTAAGATTCTTCAGCTAATAAAGTGTTTTAATTGCAAATGTAAAGGGTTAATTTTACATCAGTGTAATGAACCATAAGACATAAGATTCCATAATAAATATGAAATCAATCTTATGGATCTTTGGTGCTTTTAACCAGAAGATTGGAACATTTTATTGCAGGAATTATGCAACAACGTTGTATTCACTGAGACAAAGGAAGAGAGTCAGGTTTTAAGTGTTTAAAGAGTTATTACTAAACAAGTTAAAACTAGACTAACTTTAACACTAAATGTATGGTGTAACTAAGGTGAATGAGACAGAGAATGGTGTAATGTGGAATGTTGTTCAGAACCAGCAAATCCGGAGAAATGATTAGTTCTGGTGGGAATGAAGGTGATGTCTTTGCGCTAAGCTCTGATTTGGAGATTCATAAACACATTGAGACGCCATTCTGTCGGCCTACATTCCCTTTCGGAAGTCCCCGTTAGATCAGGAACGTCGAGGTCCAGCTTGACCCTCTCTGGAACCGAAGCCGATAGGAAAAGCAACGGTTGCCGACCAGACCAGTCTTGAGATACTTCCGGGTCACGACATTTTATTGGCATCTAACAAGACCCAAACCTGGGTAGTGATGGTTCAGCTTTTATTCTGAAAGGAACCGTTGCAGCTGTTGGAACAGCAACAGATTTTATCCGGCTTGTCGTTGGTTCTTTCGGCTGAAGAGGAAAGTTACGGATTGGCCACTCCGACAACTTCTCTAGAATGCTTTGAACTGGCGTTAACGATGGCGTGGGCATAGTTTTATACTTCGGATGTTTTGGTTTATGGTCGAATGAAAAGATGACAGATTTACCAAACACCACCAAAACCACGCCTCCGTCAGATCTGGCAGATTCTGATTGGATCCGTAAAAGCAATGTGTCGTCTCTTAACGCTACGTGTGATCAGTCTCTAGTGGAAACATTTAAAGTCATATTACTTATTATATTCTATAGGATTATAATAAAGTAATTAATATTTTTATTTCACAGATTGGTTCACATTTTACTATTGACTAACACTTTGTTTGATTAGCTTATTAAAATAGAGTTCTTTGATTTATTAAAATAGAGTCCTTTGTCTTCAGTCTTCTCTTGAGCTGGAAAGGAAAACAGTTTTAGAAGCAGATGCATGAGACCTTGAGGCCATATCTCATGCAGATTGGTTCTTGCTGATGGGGGGGGGGGGGGGGGGGGGTGACTTTTAGGTGGAAAACGGTCATTTCATTCAGTTACACAACTAATAAGGAAAATATCACCAACAAGATGATTACTGCTCATATAAAATAATTTTAGACTTAATTCTTGATAATGTGGGTGAAGCTTTTTTGATTTGAAATTGGAAGAGTTGGAGATTTGATTTTGGTTTGGTTTCAGTTGAAGGAATTAACCTTCACGACTTACTTATGATTGGTTTTAGTAACTTAGAGCTGTTTCAGACAGTATTAAAAAAAAGCTTGAAATAAGTAAAAGAGCTGATTTACTGCATACGTTGTTTTCTCTCAAAAATACTGGTAATAACTGTGGTTTTGAGGACGCTCTGGGCTCACAGCACTGCTGTTACAGAAAAATGAGAGTCAGCGTGTAGCTGGTTGTGATGGATTACTACCGTCAGCCAAGTTTTAAGGCATCGTGTTGCGTTTCATATTGTAGTAAAATAATTTAAATGAAGTTCTGCTTGGAAAGGTTGAAATTAAATATAGAAACTATGTTTTTGATGTAGAGAGAAAGCAGCCTTAAAGCTGGGTAAAAAAGCAAAGCGGATGTTTGTGTAGGAGAGCTTCTGGGGTTTAGTGCTGATCTGACTAAGCTGCTCTTTAGAAGGGATAAAAGTTGAACTTGAACATCAATTAAATGGAAAAAAGGAACAGAAAACTGCAAAGCCATTTTTAACAGATTTGTGCTCATTTTATTGTTGCAGTTTAGTAATAAAAGTGTTCTAATTATTTCTCAATTTCTTTTCACCTTTTGCACTTTTTGCTTGCGTCCCCTCCCCATGTTTGGTACACTCTTAGCCACAAGGAGGCTTAAATGTCAAGGCTTTGAGAAGACTGACAATCCTCGTGATTATTGAAATAAATATGGATATTACAGTAAATGTGAAACATAATTATGCTGCAATTAAACTTTAAGAACAAGTTCAGTGAGAAACCATTTTTTTTACTTGTATTTGAAATATGATCGGTCACTCCGAGATTAACATGCAGGCTAAACTGAAAATAATCTTCTACCCCTATTTCATGCGTTCACCGAGAAGGAAATGCTCGTGTCACAAAAAGCCTAACGGCTCTGCGTCACACGGGACACACCCATCCTAGCTCTCAACAGGGAAGACTGTAGTTTGTTTAGTGTCCGGGAAACAGCAGAGAACATCTGGGCCAGTAGAAGCTAACCGTTAGCATTAGCAACCCCACCACACAGCAGAACTCCTTCAGGCTTGCGTTATTTGTGGAGATAAAACATCAACATTACAGAGCAAACAGAGCCAGTGGTAGAGTCATGTTGCTGTTAGCCAATCAGAGGTGAGATTTCTAATACGTACGACTCCACATTCTGCCATTTTGGTAACACTTTAGTTTAGGGAACACAAATTAACTATTAATTAGCTGACAATTAATATGCACATTAGTGGACTACTAAGTCTGAACTAGTCATTATTCTGCACTTATTAATGGCTTATTTAGATAAAACTCTTCATTTATCGCCTGCTAACATTAGAATTACAGCATTGGTAATAAGCGCCTAATAATAGCTTAATAATGACTAGTTTAGACATATTAGTCCACTGATATGCATATTAATTGGCAGCTAATTAATGGTTAATTTATGTGCACTAAACTAAAGTGTTACCGCCAATTTCTGCCTCCCTCTCCTCTGGATTTCCAGTGAAGTCAAAGACAACCAAGTCCAAGTCGAGTCCAAAGTCAATGATGTGGGAGTCCAAGTCAAGTTCAAGTCCTTAACTTTGAATTTTCAAGTCATAATCAAGTCATCTGTCCAACTTCAATTTAGTACCAATGATAAAAAATGAATTACAGAATTAAAGCTTCATTTATTTGCTCAAACAAGCAGAAACTGAAACTGAATCTAAACAACGTGCTGCTGCATTCAGCAGCAAATCAAACCCAGAGCATAAAATTATTCATGATTTTTGTCCACGTCGTGCCACTTTTGTTCTAAAATATCAAATATGCTCAAATCATCATCAAGTCAACAGATGCAAGTCGATTCAAGTCGCAAGTCATTGGCGTTCAAGTCCAAGTCAAGTCGCAAGTCTTTATAGATTTTATCAAGTCAAGTCAGAAGTCATTAAAATAATGACTCGAGTCTGACTCAAGTCCAAGTCATGTGACTCGAGTCCACACCTCTGCCACATATGAACGTGTTTATTTTTTATGGGTTTATGCTCTGATTGTGCAGAGGTCTGTCTGGGTTTGGGTCTTTGGGCAAGATACCAAAACCCGCAAGAGTTGTTTTGATTTTTCAGCTGATTTAGATAAAAATATCCCAATAATCAGTCTAATGAACACATGAAAGTTTAATTAAACAACAAAATTAGCATCTGTTTTTTTTTGTCTCCTCTCAGGATCACATCCCAGTACCATACCAACCGGACTCCAGCAGCAATCCGTCATCCACCACTTCCTCCACCCCGTCCTCCCCAGCTCCTCCCTTACCCAGCAGTGCCACTCCCCCCTCCCCCCTGCATCCCTCCCCACAGTCGGCACGGCAACAAAAACAGTTCAACTTGACAGGTAAGAAAAGCAGAACCGGATCTGTTCTGTTCTCTGGTTATCGTACCAAAACCTTTATTCCTGTCAAGTAGAAGAAAGACTCATTCTGGAGCTAGCCTGGAGTCAATTAAAAGATTTGTGGTCGCTTAAATTTTCAGCCATTTGGCGGTTTTAATGGATAGTCTTGGAAATAATAAGTAACTGGTAAAATATTTTATCTGTTGTTAACTACAGAGTGATTTCATTCATTCTTGTTTAAATGGGAGCAGCATGAACCGCAGATTCCTGGAAGTAATAAAGTAGAAAGCTTTACAAACTCTTTATTTTTCATCCTCAAATAATGATTTCTGTTAAAGTTCTTGCTAATCCCAAAGCTGAGTTACATGTCAGATAAACCTTAAAGCTGTGGTTCGTAGCGTGATGTCATCAAGGACAGGAGGAGGAGATTTGAACAGTTCCAGCTCCAGCTACTGCCCTCGTGCCGTGCATGTGCCGGAAAAGCAACAGAGAGAGCTAATGTAGCGCTAGGCCGAATGCTACGCTAATCACTTTGCTCCAACACACAAAACCCAGGGAAGGGGGTGTTTCTCTATGCCAATGCACCTTGCTTACAGGGACACTGTCCTGCCTTGGTCAAAGAAAACGGTTAAATGGAACAGACGTGCGTCACGTGACCGCGGCTTCCACGGCGGTCACGTGACGTCACGTGACACGGGAGATAACGTTACATTTTCTACGTATTAGTTTCAATATAAATATTTAACGAGTCTTTTACTTTTTAAATTGTGCATATGTTTATTAAATGAAAAATATAAGTGAGTTACTACCCGCTAGCCAACGAAGCTGCACCTGCTAAGCTACTAACCAACCATAGATAACTTCTTTGGATCTAAAAAAACATTTTAAATTAGCTGACTTACTTTTAAACTTGAAAATTGTCCCCGAAGTAGCTGCCGGCCTCTTATCCGCCATGTTTTTGAAAATACCGCGGCGTATTGTGGGTCATTTTTGACCAAGGCTAACGGCTAACAAACAGAGAACACATGCTTCGGTAGAACATGAACACTGGAACCGACTGGAACACGTCTTGGCGGCTCCCGATGACGCATTTCCTAGGCAACCGGGGCGGGGCCAAGACATCAGGGCAAGGCTCCTTGGCAATGAGAAACACCCAGGGACTTGCCCCTAATTCACACCCGAGAGTTAGCAGTGCTTTACGGCAACAGCGTGGTTTACTCGTGAGCTCTGCAGCACGTCACTTCACTCCAGAAGCGTGTCAGACGCGGATTGGCTAAGCTGCAGTCCATGTAGTCATGAGATCAAAAAATCACTGGAGAATTGCTGTTGTGTCCTTTAGTTTTTTAAATATTTTTGGCCTCTTAAAGCCACCATCCACGCCCATAACTGTTAATATTTTGGTCCCTGCCCTCCCCGTTTTGGTGATGTCTACGTAAAACCGTTAGAGTGATGTCATAAATAATCGTTGTGATTTGCCACTTTTGGTTAAACTCTTCATTTATTCAGTCAACATATGACATCTATTAAAGAATAGTAATAGTCTTTTATGAGTCTATTGCATGTTTTACACTGATACCGCGTGTGATGTCCTGTCTAACCCTATGTTAACCGTGGTGGCGGCAAAAGTAGAACCCATTCTCTCTTTAACGACAACGCGTAAGGCTTCTGGGATGTACCTGAAATGTTCTGCTCCGCGTTTGGTGTGAGTCACACAACAGACTATAATGGTTTCTATCTGATGAATAGACATCCCGCTGCCGTGGCGCACCACAGACGGTGTGAACTGGGGTCAGGTGACACATAAAGTCTGAAAGATGACCTGCTTTATTTGATGGAACAGGGTCAAGAAGTCAAATTTAAGCGTCTTTTTGGTTAAGTTAAAATTTTTAAACGACGTACTCCAGTTTTTAGCATTCGTGCTGAAGTGGAAAAATGATTTAAACTGTTTGTACAAATATTGATGCAAATTAGGCATTTTTGTTAAAATACCTGCCATGTTTGTGCCTTCTTTACAGCCTCCAGTTATTTTAAATACAAACAACAGTTCATCTTTCCGGGTAAGTGCTTCAGAACTGATAATTCTCCCTTTTAACACAAAGTATAGCAACATAAAGCATGCACTAATGTCAGTAGTGACTTTTCACACCTCAGCTCCTTGAAGCCTCTCGGTCCCTACACCCACTGGTGCTCGTCTCATTTGGGTTTCCTAATGACCTGTCAATGCCCAGACTCTGAGCTTTAGTCAACACTGGTAGCATTCAGCAGCCGCTCAATTGGCAGCTTATTACAAACAGGACAAGCTGGAGTGGTGTGAGGAAAAGCATGACGTGTGGGCTAACTCTGCTCTTAGGTTTGGAGACTGATAAATATACCGTGCAGCTGACAGCAGCAGGTTCTGATTACTGATGACACGTCGACTGGTGCCTGTCTTGTTGTTGGGGCAATAAATCTAAAATATAGGTGGAACCAACATAACTGTCATGCCACAATGCATTTACTGCTAGCTTCTGTTTAGAAGAAAACAATCTCAAAAGCATTTACATAAGCCTCCTACGGGCAGAAACAGAACAGAATGAAACATCTTCATATAGGAGCTTAATGAACGTGCACAATCCTTTGGAGTTAGCTTTTATCCATGGATTCATTTTGCTATAATGTCGGGATGCGAGGAAAAATGTACGTTTCAGTAAAAAGGTATTACATGCATAGCTGTGAATGGGACAGTGAAAGCTTTCCGTCCATCCAGCTCGCGGATCTTTTGGAGAGAATCCATGACATGAAATTATTCTAGTACCACACAGAGAAGGAAAAAGGTCCCTGCTGCTGCGGGGTGTCGGTGCCGGTGTCTAATGCAACACGCCACAAAGGGGCTTTGTGTGACTCGCACTTTGAGTCACACATTGTCACAGCGTGTCAACACAAGCAGCCTTCATGGTGTGTCTTTCAGCGGTGGATGCAACAGGAATGCTGACTTTGAGCTATCTTAAAGATTAGAGCCGGCAAAGAACATTGTGTCATCCAGCGGTTTTCATCAACCCCGTGCACCGTCCTGTTCAGAAGTTTAAAATTATTAGTTTTGCAAATGTCTTTCATTGTTCTGTTCATGTGACTCAGACAAACAACGCGTGTTCTTTTGTGATATCTGTGACAGTTGGCAGCAAACTATCACATGTATTCATGAAAGATTATCATTTTTAACATTAGTCTCAGCAGTGGAGTGTTCCCTAAGGTTTTTAAAGATGCGGTTGTTCAGCCGATATTGAAAAAACCTGGTTCGGATCTCTCCACTTATGAGAACTTTCGCCCTATATCGAAAGTCCCGTTTCTCTCGAAGGTTCTTGAGAGAATTGTGCATGGTCAGATCTCTGCTCATATGAACAATAACTCATTGTTGGATGTGTTTCAGTCAGCCTTTAGACCACACCATAGCCCTGAGTCTGCTTTGATTAGGGTGCTAAATGACATTCTGGTGGCATCTGACTCTGGGTCTAGGGTACTGCTGCTCCAGCTAGATCTTTCAGCGGCTTTTGGGTTGGGGTGACGGGGGTGGCTCATAAATGGTTCCGCTCCTACTTATCAAACCGTTCCATCTCTGTACAGATTGGTGACTGTGCATCCTCCTGTCTTCCACTGCCTTGGGGGGTGCCACAAGGTTCCGTTCTTGGGCATTTGCTGTTTTCTATCTACCTTCTGCCTCTGGGCAATATCCTGAATCAGCATGGCCTGAGCTATAACATTTACGCTGATGACTGTCAACTATACGTAGAAATGGATGAGAAGAATGCGGGCTCGAAATTGGCTCATGTTTAGATGACGTGAAGGGCTGGCTGGCAGACCAACTTCTTAAAGTTGAACGAAAAGAAGCCTGAGTTAATTGTTTTTGACCCCGGCAACCACCATGGCTCTCACCCTGTATGTGACCTTTTAATCCTCAACCCCAAACAGTGTGTGACGAGTCTCAGGGTCATGCTGGATGCTGAACTCACAATGGCCCCACAGATAAACTCCTTAGTGAGGTCCTGCTTTTATCAGCTTCGCCGCCTTACTCGCCTCAGACGAATCCTGAAACGGAGGCATTTGGAGGCAGTCGTCCATGCCTTCATTACCTCTCGCCTGGACTACGCAAACGCCCTCCTCGTTGGTGTTCTGGTATCCGCCCTGAACCAGCTGCAGGTCGTCTAGAACGCTGCTGCCAGGTTCTTGATGAGTACACACCAACGTAGCCATATTACCCCTGTCCTGGAACATCTTCACTGGCTCCCTGTCATTTTCAGAGTGCAGTTTAAGTTACTGACCTTTGTGTTTAAAGCTCTCAATGACCTGGCACCTCCCTATCTCTCTGACCTGCTAACTCAATATGTGCCCATGCGCACGTTGAGGTCGGCTGACCTTTTGCTGCTGTGCATGCCACGGGTGCGATTCAAATCGCGGGGGGATCGAGCATTTGTCCATGCTGCCCCAAAGCTATAGACCTCATTGCCCATTGGAGTTGGGCAGGCTCCATCTCTGGCGGTTTTTAAATGTCGTTTAAAGACCCACTTTTACGCTTTGGCTTTTAGCCCTTTGATGCATAATGGTCACTACAGTGGACAGGTACTCAAAATTGTTATTTCTTTATTTTTGCTATTAAGCACAGCTGTTGAAGACTTTATTGCATTTGAGCCCCTCCATTTGGACTTCAGTAAGTCAAGCCAACATATTCCATGTTCAGAATGCACGCTGTCCACTGAGATGGACATGTAATAAATTATTTGTAAATTAACAAAATGTTACAAAAAATATTTGTTGAAATTTGTTTCATTCACACCTAAAGATGAATGAAAAAAATTGTTTAAAAAATCTTGGTTGAAGATTTCATAATCCATGCATCAGAGGGTTAAACAGTGACTTGTTTTAGTGTTTTATTGTGTCATTGTTTTAATGTGTTCTTAGTATTCATCATGTTTTATCTGCTTTAGATTGGGATTTTTATCCTCTGTTTTAGTTCTTTCGAAGGGTTGTGTTTTGTTTTAGCCTGTGCAGCACTTTGGGCAGCTTCCATGCTGCGTTTTAAATGTGCTATATAAATAAACTATGCTATGCTATCCATAATGTGAGACGTCAGCCGAGTTCTCAGATTCCCCATGAGAGTCCCCGGTCGTACATCTTTAGTTGCTGGGACTCAAAGAGTGTGTCTCAATTCA